CCCTATCTGTACTGAAAAGGTAACACCAGGTTTCCCCCCCCCCCCAGCAGTATGTACAGTATATACAGACCCTCTGTTTCCAAAAATGGCATTTACTTTTTGGGCAACTACCATAAGGTGGGGCCGCAGCTCAGTGGCAGTGTGCTTTACTTACAAAACGGGTCAAGCTGAATCCCTGGCATTTCCATATGAGATTAGTAAAAACAAAAACTTTGTCTGAAACATTGAGGAGCTACTGCCATTCAGTAAATGACAAGGTGCTAATGGGCCCAAGGTCTAACCCAGTACAAGGCAGGTTGCTACGTGTGTGTTGTGATTGATCAATGTTTGTTGTGTTGGATGTACAGGACTGCAGAGGATGGGCAGTTATGAACTACTTGTGTAGGGACCTAGAGAAGGTTGCTATAAGAAAACAATAACACATTATGTGTGCTGAATCCTCCAAAAAGCCACAGCTAGGAGGCAAATAAATATATAATTTGTTTAAAGTTGGACAGTGCCAGTTGCCACCTGATGTAGCATGATGACAAAGATAGCTTTGATTTTTGCAAGTTTTCCTTGACTGTCTTGTTAGTATATGGCTGGCCCAGGATGTTTTACTGGTAGATGCAAAACAGATAATAATGTGCAGCAGAGGCGCAAGATGAGGATACCAACAAGCATAGGGCACACTGCAAGGAGACTAGATGTGCTGCCCCTCCCAGATTTCCAGCTCCTGCTGCCTTACCTCACCTCATGGGAAGGCTGATGAGGTCTGGGAGAGAGGGAGAGATGCACTTGGGCAGAGAGAGGGAGAGAGAGATGTGTGGGAGAGAGGGAGGGAGGGGCATGTGTTTCTGTGAACTATATATTTGCAGTGAGCCTGTGCATGAGAGTGAGTGTGTGGCCACCTTGTATATTTTTCCTGTTACTGGAAAATGCTTCCTGTTGTTATTAGACAGCAGCAGCATCACTGTGTGAGAGAGATAGAACAATATTGTGTGAGCTCCACAATCAAGGCTAACAGGACACAGCAGACTTCCCATGGTAAACCTAATGTCGTCTGGGTTGGGGGAGCAATGACTGTACCCTCTCTCTCATTTTCAGTTATGGCTGCTCCCATAGCAGCCATGTTATATTATGCCATGCTCCCCGGGTAGCAATTTTGTGACTGGATCCCACAGCACGTTCTTGATATTCAAATGTGCCTACTGGTCCAAAAATGTTGGTGACCTGTAGTATTACTTTTTACTATTGCCGCTGAAGACTAATGTGGCTACCCCTCTAGAAATGTAATGTTTATTGTAATCGTGTGCATACTTCTCATGACACAGCAAAAGAGAGTTTCCATCATGTATACACTGAAAGCAGCATCTTAAAAGCAGAGACATCACCTTGCCGACAAAGGTCCGTATAGTTAAAGCTATGGTTTTCCCAGTAGTGATGTATGGAAGTGAGAGCTGGACCATAAAGAAGGCTGATCGCTGAAGAATTGATGCTTTTGAATTATGGTGCTGGAGGAGACTCTTGAGAGTCCCATGGACTGCAAAAAGATCAAACCAATCCATTCTGAAGGAAATCAGCCCTGAGTGCTCACTGGAAGGACAGATCCTGAAGCTGAGGCTCCAATACTTTGGCCGCCTCATGAGAACAGAAGACTCCCTGGAAACGACCCTGATGTTTGGAAAGATGGAGGGCACAAGGAGAAGGGGACGACAGAGGACGAGATGGTTGGCCAGTGTTCTCGAAGCTACCAGCATGAGTTTGACCAAACTGCGGGAGGCAGTGGAAGACAGGAGTGCCTGGCGTGCTCTGGTCCATGGGGTCACGAAGAGTCGGACACGACTAAATGACTAAACAACAACAAATACAGTGGTACCTCAGGCTAAGTACTTAATTCATTCCAGAGGTCCGTTCTTAACCTGAAACTGTTCTTAACCTGAAGCACCACTTTAGCTAATGGGGCCTCCTGCCGCCAGAGCATGATTTCTGTTCTCATCCTGAAGCAAAGTTCTTAACCCGAGGTACCATTTCTGGGTTAGCAGAGTCTGTAACCTGAAGCGTATGTAACCTGAAGCGTATGTAACCCGAGGTACCACTGTACACTGAAAGAGAGAGAGATTTAATCCTTCAGTGACTTTTCTCTCAGTTGAGGGCTTTTTCACTTTTCTTTGGTGTATTCGTAGTATTTTACCACATGGTGGCACTATGTTACTAAAGAGAACACATGTGAGCTAAAGGAAAAAAAATCGAAGCCTCTCATACTCCTTACAGGAATTGAAGTGATCCAAGGATTTATTAAATGCAACCAAACTGTTTTCATGCCTTCTGTCTTAAAATGTTACAATGTTATTTTTTGACAGTTTGAATCTTATCTGCCATTTTGATTCCACTTTTGTGTTAGGTGATATATGCCCAGTGGCTGCTAGAAGCTAACTCCCCTAGCATTGCCAAGTATTTTTCTATTCTATGCTTACCTGCACATATATTTCAAATTTCTTCAAGAGATGGCATCATAATTTGCCACTAATTGCAAAGGTGTGTAAAACGGACTGTTTGCAGTATTTGCTCTCCTATCCTATTGTGAAAACAGTTGTTTTGTGAACTTCTTCAAACGTATGTGGGGTAATCCAGTAGAAGAAGAAAACATCTCCACTTCCTGACTCATACAGTCATTCTTTGGCTTCCACTCACTTGTGTGAAGAAGAACAAGAGGGGCAGGACAAATCCTGTGTACACTCAGGCCAAGGACCAGCTGACAGAGGCGTGTTTCATCAGTTAAATCAAATCAGCAATCATAGTTGGAAAAGAAAGTCTTCCCATGAACATCTGCCTCACCACTGTCTAACAGGATACTAGACTAGATGGAGCTTTGGCTTAATGTAGTTGGGCCAATGTACACAGGATTTGACCTGCCTTTCTCGTTTTTCCTCACATGAGTGGAAGCCAAAGAGGGACAACACAAGTGAGGAAGTGGGGGTGCTCCTTCTTCCACTAGATTTCCCCACATACATTTGAAGAAGTTCAAAAAGTGATGTTTTTAATGTAGCCACATTCTTAGGTCAAGATCAGATGTTCCTAACACGATGATATATAGGATGTCACCCAAAGTGGGCTTAGGGTTTCTACTATTTATACTCTTAAACCTTCCATACCATTGATTTTTATTTTTTTATTTTTTTTGGGGGGGGGGTGGAATTCAGTCACATACTGGCAAATTCAGGTTCCACAAGTAAAGCTGCTTTGGTGTTTGTTTCTTCTGAAACAAACCAGCTCCCCCCCCCCCATTGTACTTTTTGCAATAAAGGAAAGTGATGAGGAAATGCGCTGCAAAGTTTGAGGTAACATTTGCTTCATATAACCTACCCACAAACTTTATGCAAGCAAGTCAGGATGAATGCTCTATAAACAGGTTCTCTGGAAGCATCCTTAGTTGTTCTAGTAACTTTCTGGCACAGACGCTAAACATTTCCCTTTCAAATCTCGTAACATTTATTTTACTGTAGTGTGAATCATTTCTCCTTCGTGTAAAAGCAGGCTAGGGAAAGGCAGAAGGTTCTGTTAATCATTCCAAAGCATGTCCTGATGGCAAAACGAAAAGTTCTGCAAAACGGATTGATGAAGAGAGCTTGATCATCTAGAATTGCTTTCACCTTGCAGTTCTTGCCATCACCAGAAGATGGCAAGAAGTTCATAACTATTATAGTCATTGCTGACCAAGCGATGCTTCATGCTTGCTGAACAACAGCTGTCTAATCTGTTTTTGCTGCAGGTAGGCATGATTGAGAAGGCCGGTCTTTTACACGTAGGTGATGGTTTCCTATAATCATATAGCAATGCATAACTGGTAGTCACAATTTCATAATTTGGCTTCAGTGTGGGATTTTGCGATGAGCTTTCCCAAAACAAGTTAATTGTGGTGATTCCTGGAAGATGGTGAATATATATGCTGGGCTGATTTGTTTTGCTAAGATAATAATACCCAGTCACGCAATACCATTTATCAAGTTACAAACTACATAAATGTCAAGCGCTTTGGTATTCAGAAGTGATGCAAATGATTTCTGTGTGCTTGCAGCTTGGTTGATGTTATTATAGGGGGGATAACATGGCATAATGAAATGTCACTGGGAGAAACAGCATAAAAGAATAAATCTGTCATACTAGAGAAGAGGAGGAAGATGTCAAGGAAAGAGGGGAACTTAGTACAAGGTTATGTCAATGTCAGTTAGCTCAGTTGTAACCATGGTGCTGATAACACCAATGTTGCACATTTTGATCCCCTTTTGGGCTACCTGCATTTTCTTGCATTGCACGCCTAGATGACCCTTGGGTCCCTTCCAACTCCACAATTCTATCTTTCTAACACTGGTTAATTTTCATGTAATATATCCCCCCCCATCTATCTATTTATCTATCTATCTAATGAAGGAGAGGTAGAAGGAAACTGTTTAACTGTGTGATTTGGTTCAATTGGCTGCTTCAGATATGGGCTAGTGATGGACTTTGTGGGGTGCAGGCCCCTGTCCCTTCCACCATGGACACAGCATCACTTTGGAGCTGAAAACACCCAGTTTACCTGATGCTTCTCTTCTTGATTAGGCAAATGACTTAAAGCCAGTCACCAGCCCAGATACATATGAACCAGACATAGTCAACAGATAGAAAGGAGGACCCTACTGATAGATTTATCTTGATGGTCTTTTCGTCTTTAGTCGTCATTTGTGTAAAATGGGTACAAAACCAAGCCCTCCTCAACAGTGGTGATGATATTCTGGCTTACAGCAGAGCTTTCTTCACATCTTCCTTACAGAGAGAATTCAGTGTGCTACAAGACTCTATGTTGGCTTTGTGGCAAGAGATTAACAGGGCTGCTTCTTTGGAAACTTCTCCTCTGGTCAGGTGGAAGTAATATCTGCCCTCCTCATTATCTGCATAGAAGGATCAAACTGAAAGAAACAGCCACGTGTCCTGTTTTCTGCTTGAGCAGCATTCTGTTCATCTCCCCCCCCCCCTTACAGGGATATGGAGTTGATGAGCACGCAGCCCTACAGGCTCGATGGGAAGAGGCATCCAAAGAAACAATCAAAAGAACAACAAAGCCATGCCCTAAGTGTCATGTTCCAGTGGAAAAGGATGGTAAGTTTATTGATCAGTATTCAATACTGATCAATACAGCTCGGGGGAGGGACGTCAGGCCCAGGGGCGAAATGTTGCACAAAAGCCTTTCTATTAGGCCCTTGGTCTCTCCCTGGACCCTCTCTCCCAAGCCACACCCTCAAGCATAGTAAATTCTAAATATTATATGCCCATTATTTTTATTTTTTGTCATCCATCCACTTTTGCCTATGAACTCATTTGCAATTTCTTACTTTTGGTTTTGGTTTTTCTTCTAGGTGGATGCATGCATATGAAGTGTCCTCGGCCTCAGTGCAGATTTGAGTGGTGTTGGAACTGTAGCCTAGAGTGGAACAGGACTTGCATGGGCGATCATTGGTTTGACTGATCACCAAACAACACTGCAAAAAACAGCACATATGACAATATGCTGGTACTCAAGAATGTAGACCCACAAGCACAGCTCCTTCTACCAGGGTCAAATCCTGAACTCCTTGCTCAGGGAATGAATTCCTCATTAGCCCCAGATTAAGGAATTCACTTAATAAAAACACCTATTTATTAGCTCAGATATGTAGGTAAATGAACAATTGTTTGTTCAGATGGCCCTTATGCTTCCTAAATTCATGATGACACGTAAAAGTTAGAGGGCTCATGCTTTCATTTGTTCTGGTACATTACCCCTTGTTCCACCAACACCCCCTAGTGGTGTTCCTCCTTTGGGGAAATGGGTAGTGTTACCAGTGTCAGTTTATCTCTTTAATGGGTTTGTTCTTTGATCTAAGACTGGATCACTTTAAGTATTTTATTGGCCACAGTTGATAAAGACTTATGCCTTATGGGGAGCATGATTTCCTATAACATCTGCATTTTCAGCATACGCTATGATAAGTCACCTAATACTGTATATTAATTCCACTTTCATACATCTGTTAAAGTCATGTGGCATTGATAATTTCCACCTCAGGTGTTCTGCTTGGCAAACAGTAGTTAGACAGACAGTGTTACATGAGCAATATTTGGAATTGTAATTCATTTTCTGACAGGCCTCCATGGAAGTTAAGCTCATGTTTTAAAACATTGTGTTTTAAACATGTATGTGCAGTCAAAATCCACTTTTGCTGTCTTGCTCATGGAATGTTCCTTTTTTTTAATCTGACAGAGGCATGTGCTGATAAGGAGGTGGGCAAATGATTTCCTACAAATTCCCTTGTCTGCTGCAGCCCCCTCTGTCCCAGGGGATTGGGAGACCTTCCAGAATAGTATGGAAGGTGACATGAGGTCTGCAGTGGGAAAGGGGACCCCTCTTAGGTTAGCAGACACCTCTGCTGGATCACAAGCCATCCTATGGGCAGCACAGCATCTCTCACATGGATCTAGGCAGTTACTCCATAAATATGTACTACAACTGCCAAGAACAACTTAGTGGTTGCTTTAATCAAAGATCTATGCTTTTAAGTTACCAAAGTCTGAGTTTGTTTGGGCACAGTTTGGCTGATCCAAGAAGGAATTTGATGCCTGCTGGATACTATGTGTTGGTGATGAATGATGCCTAACAATTTAAGAGTGGAACAAGACAGGATGGCAGCAGACCCATGTCTTCATATATAGACTCCCACCGACTAGCTGCCAAGCAGGATGGGGATGATTAAGAAAAGTGACAGGCAGGAGTTCCTAGCCATTCCTCTACCTGTTGTTTTTCAGACCATGACCCCTTCCCAAACCTCAGTTTCCTCCCTAGTTGGACTTATTTCAAGTCTTGGACCCCAGTTAGGGGAGGGAAGTTTAGGAAAGGCAGGTTCAAAAAGATTAAATGTGGAAATTAGCAAGCGCTTCTCCATCAGGTTAATGTGTTAACATGAATAGCTTCACACTGGCAAATTCTGACAAATGGAAGCCACTCTTTCAAGAAATTGACTGCCAAAAAACAAAGAAAAGAATGGGAAAGGATTAGGGAATAAGCTTCTGTAGATGTCATTATCAGAGTCCAACACTACCTCTTCCTCATATCAGCGAATCTACTTTTCACAGAAATAAGATGCACAATCAAAGAAGTTTGCTCTCATGCTGAATCAAATCAATTCTCTTTGTGATGTCTGGCTGAATAAATTCAGGATAAGCATAAAAAAAAAAAATAAAGTTCATATGTTTACTTTTCCAGGTGTTCTCTGAACATGTTATTACATCACTTTTTCAATCTCTACAGGCTGGATTCTGTTTAAGTACTCCGTATTCTTAAGGCCGTTCAACAGATGCAAGGAGAATACACAGAGTGAATACTGTAAAATGTAGTAAGTGTTTGAACTGCTTCCTTTGGGATGCGATGCTCCATTGAACTAAGAACAGAAAACATAGCAAGAGATATGTCCAAGTACATATGCATAGCACTATGCTCTAAGAGCTTCTTGTTGGACTACTAGAAAAGGTGCCCAACATTAAAGTGCTCCTTGATTACTTAGATCCTAAAACTTTTGTATTTATGCAGATGGTGTGAGTAATCTTTAAAATGTTAGTCTTGTTTAGATCATTGGTCTTGAATGAATGATGATGATCATATGAATGATGATGATCATATGAATACCTGCATCCTTTTCAGATCTGTAATTAGCTGCTCTGTAGTTCCACAATTCAGATGTGGACACAGTACAATTTGGTCTTAATAATTATTGGTCTGCTCTCTACAACATCTAATGTCTTTGTTTCATTTAACCAAGCCTACCTTCATTGCCTAAGGGACGTGGGTGGCGCTGTGGGTTAAACCACAGAGCCTAGGGCTTGCTGATCAGAAGGTCAGCGGTTCGAATCCCCACAACGGGGTGAGCTCCCGTTGCTCGGTCCCTGCTCCTGCCAACCTAGCAGTTCGAAAGCACGTCAAAGTGCAAGTAGATAAATAGGTACCACTCCAGCAGGAAGGTAAACGGCGTTTCCGTGTGCTGCTCTGGTTCTCCAGAAGCGGCTTAGTCATGCTGACCACATGACCCGGAAGCTGTACACCGGCTCCCTCGGCCAATAAAGCGAGATGAGCACCGCAACCCCAGAGTCGCTCACAACTGGACCTAATGGTCAGGGGTCCCTTTACCTTTACCTTACCTTCATTGCATTTATTGCAAGCCATTTATTGCAGACTTCCACTTGGACTACAGAAATAGGGGTGTTACCAAGGAACAAATGGATTCTCCTTTGAAAAAAATTGCAAGGCCTAGATTTTTCATTCATATATCATATAGAGGTCAACATCCATCCAACCTACTCTGTAATCCAGATGGTCCACAGTCTTCCCCAGTGCTTTAGCCCATGCACAAAGCCTCTTGCAATGGCATCTGTTCTATAATGTCAAAAAGTACTACAGTGAGGTAGAGAATTCTACATACATAGAGCATGCATGATGCTATGATAGTGGCAGAGACTATATTTGCTCATGTGCTGCATGGCGTATGCAGCTCAGTCTTCCAACCCTGGAGAGGAATTTGCCAGATCCTAGCAAATCTGTTTTCTATTCTGATTCAGCTCTGCTGTGTGTGAAAATGGGCGGCATCCATCATTTGTCATTCAGTGATTTGCATCAGAACCAATGATGTACCTCAGTTGTTTGAAGTGAGGCGAGGGATAGGGAAGCATTGTCTGAGTGCTGGATTTGTTTTGGCTATTTCCCACATGCAAGTTTTCCATTTTTTATTTTTACCCTACTCTTTGGCTGCAAGAGACTCGCAGAACAGCTACAATTTGCAACGCAAAAGGCATTGGGGAGAGAGAAGGGAAAGAAATATACTCAGGCACTAATTCTTAGTTACAAAGTTCTTATAATCACCAGCTGAAATGGAAACAGTAGAAGATGAGAAGGAAACAAATGTTGCTGATTTCCCAAGTAGAGGTGGAGTAGCCCTGCTTTCCTTTTCTCCCTCTGCTGTAGCATGATAGAAGGACAACCACCAGCTAATTGAAGGAGGAGCATGATGGAACTGGCTTCTCAGCAGGAATTTTCTGAGTTTCTCATTCTTCCAGTCTTCAGTTTGCCATATGACTGCAATTTTCCCCCAAGAACAAATATCCTCATTTCTCCTAATATGTGTATTTTAATACCATTTTGCTACCCATACACATTTTTGCAAGCCATACAATGCACCTTTGAATGTAACCTACTTTTTGTACACTTTTTGTTTGGCAAACAGCACCACAAAATTCACGTTTAAGTTTGTGTACTGTTTCAAAAAGTGGAAGTTAGGTAAGTTTGGAGAAATATGTGAACGAAACCAAATTTCTCCCCCATCCCTACTTCTCAGTAGATTTATGGTAGGTGGCCCTGCTTCTCTTTTCTCCCTGCTGCGGCTTGCTGAACATGTATCTGCCATTGAGCCCAATGTAGAAAAATCCTTATCCTAATTTGCAATATTTTGACATTGGTTTTGGAGTTTTAAGCAGTACAAGGACAGGAGTGATGCCCTAAAATAGGGTGGCATTTCTCCACATATAGCAACTGCAGTAGGACGGTGTTGCTGCTCTCTTTCATAATTTTGTTGTGTAATCTTTGCATTTCCTCAAACTTTTTTCCTGCAGAAAGAGAAAGTTAACACACTTTGAAAATTGCTAGAAGTTCTAACTCCCGCACTTCCAATATTTCCAAATGCTTGTGTCGTAAGAGTCCAAATTTAGGAGCACATATTTCATGCAAAAACTACCTTTGCAGTCCAGTGCCAAGACATTTTTGAGTGAAGAGATGTTAACAGCTGAGTGAATGTGGCAATCACTCACATTTTATTTTTAGATTCAGCCTGCTAGGAACTGAATCATTAAAGAGGGAAGTGAAACATTTTGTAATATCCTTTTTTTTTTTTTTAGATTAATTCCTACTAATGGTGGGACCAGACACATAAATACAGGACATTGCTTGTGTTGTAATGTCACAATAGGAAGAAGGTTGCATCTTTTCACTTGGCTTGCCTATATACATGTTTACCATCCTGGCCCTTCATCTTGAGACTAGTGGGCTTCAGGCACAAAGCTATGCATTATGAGTAAACAGGTTGAACACTAGGTTCGAGTTGTTTTTGCTAAAAACAACTTCAGGAGAAGGGAAATCGGAGCAGGGAAGCAGCAGAGAGAAGGTGCTTAATCCTTTCACCACACACAGATTATCTGCTCCAAATCACCCTCAGATGGTTGCACACACAAACATACATTTTGAACTCTGCATACATAAAACAGTTTGGGAGGGAATCTGTTTAGAGCTTATAAATGGCAGGAAGGGAAAGAGTTAAGTACCTTCTCTTCTCCCTCAATCCCCACACTGCTCTGCTTCAAATTCTCTCTTCCTAAAGCTGCTTTTCAAAAAAGAAAAAAGGCCATCATTGGGGACTCACATATTCATGTTTGCATATATGGTAATGTGTAGTCAGTGCCTCTGTTGTCAGCGCTCCAAAAACCTGCAAAACCTATTTAACCAAATAGGTCAGTGGGGCAGGGGAAAGGATATTACACAAATATTACACTAACATAAATTAAGAGAAAAAATTCTTCCTTAATATTGTGATCTCTGATTGGTTTTCTAATTGCAGTTTACTTTAAAGTTTTATAACAGTTAGTGAATTCCAGTGATTAATTTCTTCATGCTAACACAGATTATGGTGAGTATATTGAACCCTGAAGAAACCAACACAGCCAACTCTCAATAATCATTGATGTTTTTAAATTGAATTAGTCCTTGGTGTAATGTGAACCCTTCAACAAGAAGGGAAATATACAATACAGTATTTAATTCTTGTAAATTTGGGCACAAGGCCGATTAAGGTGTGGCTGGGTAAAATATGTGGCCTAGTCAAAACATTCAGTTCTTCAAGGCTTGTGCTTCCACACCCCAATGACACTTACTCTGGCCTGAGTGGTAACAAAAAGAGAATGAAGGTGCCGTTTCCTGCAGCACATTGCAGAGGGGGATAGCTGTCCTTCTAATGTCAAGGTATCTACCTCTGACATTCTTTCAGGTGTTAGCTCCCTCCATCTTCTCTTCAGGCGGAAGTGTATGCTGTGACAAGTATTGATTGATTTCTTCTACATTTGTATCCTGCTCTTCCTTCAAGATGGTTATGATTGAGCAAGATCAGGTAGATCAGAGAGGATGGGGTAGAGGCATATGTCTCTCATTAGGAAACAGACTTCAACTTTTACATTTTAGTTAGCAATACTCTACTAACCATTTTGGACAGTATTTGATTACGGTATGTTCCATTTACGGTAAATGCTACAGTAAGGCTAAATCAATGGGATATGCTCCCAACTCTTAACACTTCAACCTCTCATTGTTTCCTATAGCAACAGCATATATTCTTCTCTGGTATTGATGCTTAGAGTAAATGCAGCCTAGGAAAAATATATTGGGCCCAATAGTCTGGAATATTCTTATGTGCTGAATTTTGGGTATAAGGATGAATGAGAATGATGCATGCATATATGATGTGTGTTAAAGGGGAAAGTAAAGTCAACATTTGCAGCTTAGTCCTAGTCCAAAGTGTTGAAAGTGGGTCAAAGAACAGACAATTACATACACTAACCATAGTTATAATGCATTACAATACAAAAATGAATCAATTCAACACCTACAGGTCATTTAAAACACACCAGAAGTTTCAGAGAATATAAAATAATGCCCATAGTTCAATGAACAATATCCAGTACCAATAATATATATATTATACCCACAATAAGAGAATCACATGAAGTTTTACCTCTTCTTTTATTTAAAAAATAATTATTACAAATCCCAGGCAATTTGCTTGCTTGCTTGCTTGCTTGTCTGTGTGCCAAAATAGGAAATGAGATCAAAATAAATATATATACCAACTTATTCTAGAAGCTCGTCTGCTATAAACACTTTTTATTTCTACAAGTGCATCGCCATGACAATATCATTCATCCTCTATTACAACTTACATGAAGCCCTGCTCAAGTCCCAGTGTGGGAGTCCAAGATGTGAGTCATATATAAAAAGTCTCTGGAGCACATCCAGGATAAAATCTTTCACCCTACTGAAACCAATAGAATCTTCCCTTTGGCAATGAGGCACAGATCCTTATATTTTAATATCAACACAATGAGAATATATGACAAAGAATCATAAAATAAAGTTGATGTTCATCCTTAATTTCTGTCATTCGACAGCAACATTAGTCAGTCAGACTTTTCATCATCTTCTATGTAAGTAAACTTTTACATTCTGCAACCAAGCATGGTTATTTGATTCTTCACAATGGTCTCCTTCTGTGTCTCACTTTAAGAGCTAAAATTACTTGGCTGTTAGACTCTTTTTTTCTGGGACAGAATTACGGAGGGGATACTACTGAGGCTTATAAAAAGCCAATAGGAAGGGCTGCCAGATCAAGGAGCGCATTGATCCAGACATGGGGAAAGCATGGGAAATGTCAGGCGTGCGGAAGTTTATTAGGCCTCCAAGTGCTGCTAAACCAATGATGTCATTGGTGCCAGTGGCTAGAGACATCTGGACGCATCTGTTGCCCACATGATGTACACTTAGCTCTTGCTGCTGCCCCCCATCTCCAGCATACTTCAAGGACTGGGGAAAGGCAAGGGAGGGCCCAGTCCCTGCCATGCAGGTATCGAAATGCTGATATACTTGTGCTGTAACTTATTTAACCCAGTGCTTATACCAACGCCTAGAGAGGGCTGTAGGCATATTCAGAAACAGATGGACCCTGTGACAGATTCTGGCAGCTCCTTTTGAAAATCTGCTGCAAAATCTGTCTGCCTGGGCCCCAACACAACACTGTTGTCTTGTTTTGGCTAACGTTTGATGACATAGAAAGGAAGCGGATAAGAAGCTGGCTTTATGAGTGCATAAGAAGAACTTTGCTGGAGCAGGTGAAAGGCCCATTGAGTCCCGCAGACATCTATGGGAAGCTGGCAAGCAGGACCTGAGTGGAACAGTGCTTTCCCGACTTGTGATTCTGTATGTTATCTGTAAGTATGCTTCAGTGCAATTTTACACTTTTTTTGCATGCTGCCTTGTGATGTTTATGTGTATACTATAACAGTAAAACAAATATATTAGGCCACTGATTAGTCCCCATAGATCAGTTGCTTCCCTGACTAGCAGCAGCTCGCTAAGATTTCATATGGGGGGGTGGCATCTTTCCAGAGCCCTTCCTGGAGATGCCAAGGATTGAACCTGGGACCTTCTGCATGCGAAGGAAGGGCCCTGTCACTGAGCCTTTCATACAGCATCCCTTGATTCCTGCAATGCAATTGTTCTATATGCAGCAAATGAGAAGGAGAGATAACAATCATTGTTATTGCCAGAGGGCATAGATATGAGAGATTCTGGCTTTGGGCCATTGTGAAAATAAGTTTTAAAGACTTCCTCAAAGTATTAAGCCTTAGGCAGAAAGTGTGTTCAGAATGTTTCATTCTTAGAAGCAAACATTTGCAAGGATGTGGAATAGAAGAGGAAGTCAGGAACGCTTGCACATCTTTAATGGTGGCTTGCTGTATATGGTTATCTGCCATTAACTAAAAAGCACAGTCATGACATGTCATAATACTGATCCTGTGCATGCAAAGGGAAATGTTATCCACAAACTGTAAAATAATGCACAGGAGATGATGACCTAGGTATCGTCATCTTATCAGCTATCTCATGGGGTTGCTCTGTTTGTGTGAGAGTTCAGCCTGTAAAGTAAAAGTAAACTATTTGCAGAGATCATAAATTGGATCATAAATTTCATTCTGTAAACAAAAGAAGAGTTCACATTCACAGGTCAGAGCTCTCCCATCTTCCTTCTCCCTCTACTGCCCCCTTAACATCTCCTTCCTCTTCTTTTACTGCTGCAGACTACAGGGCACTTGGGAATGGTGTGGGGTCTGCAAAGTGTGGAAGAGTTGATGGCTGCTTGTCCCCTGCATAGAAATGGAGGAGCGACTCCAGGCTAATATTCTAGTGGCACTTGAAGCAGGGGTTAGGTACCATACCCAAGCAGTTTGAGTACACCAAGAGGTTTTTGTTTTTTAAATTCAGTACATTAAATTTACCAATCATAATCCAACTAACATTTTAGATTATGTGTCACAGTATTATTCATAGTATTGTTGTGAGTTTTTGGGGGGTGGGTTAGGCTGTATTCATGAGTCGCTTCTCATTCCTGGATCCACCAAGAATTCAACTGTTGGAATAGCCAGACCAGCTTCTTGGTGAGCTAATAGCCCCTAAGTATGAGGACGCGGGTGGCGCTGTGGGTTAAACCACAGAGCCTAGGACTTGCCGATCAGAAGGTCGGTGGTTCGAATCCCCGTGACAGAGTGAGCTCCCGTTGCTCCCTGCTCCTGCCAACCTAGCAGTTTAAAAGCACGTCAAAGTGCAAGTAGATAAATAGGTACCTGCTCCAGCGAGAAGGTAAACGGCATTTCTGTGCGCTGCTCTGGTTCGCCAGAAGCAGCTTTGTCATGTTCACATGACCCGGAAGCTGTATGCCGGTTCCCTCGGCCAATAAAGCGAGATGAGCCCCGCAACCCCAGAGTCGGCCACGACTTGACCTTATGGTCAGGGGCCCCTTTACCTATGAGTGGTTAGGGTAACTAAGTAGCTTTGTTCTAGAGGGCAAATGGGTGGGTCCTGTCCCTCATCTGGCTGGTAATGAGAAACCATATATCCTAAAGACACCACAGTCTCCACTGTCCCTCATTATAAGGAAACATGCACCCTGGGTAAGTTCCTGGAACCCCTGGAATCTCACAGAATTTGGAGATTGGGGAGGCGTACAATAGTGTGAACATCCTGCTTGATGAAGAGTCGTGGAAAATGTGAACGCTTGCTCACTAATTTTGACTAATTTTAACCACAAGCGGGATACAAGCGGAAGTCATGTGCCGGTGGCACGTCGGCAGCAGGAGGCCCCATTAGCGAAAGCACGCCTGAGGTTAAGAACGGTTTCGAGTTAAGAACGGACCTCCGGAACGAATTAAGTTCGTAACCGGAGGTACCACTGTATATCATTCTATTCTGTCCATACTTTCACAACACCTCTGTGAAGTAGGCTAGACTGAATGATGCAGTAACTGGCTCAAGGTTCCTTCCTACCTAAGTGAGAAATTTAATCTGGCAATCAAATGGTCGGTGGCAGCAAATCAAGTGTGTTGGACATGAGTCTAGTCTTCATATTGTCTGGTTGCTGAGTCCGGGCTTTGACACTGGGTTAATTTTACTTACATTAGGGGGAAAGGCCATATGAGCCATAGCAAGAATATAGATTTCTATCTTCTGATAGTGGCCAGGCGTATTATTACTCAGGGAGGTTCACAAACAGGATATTATGATGATGGTGATATTGATCCCATTAATCCCCAGCATCTGCTAGGCAGAAGCATCTTTGAAAACTCTGGCTATTCTTTCAGCTGCTATAGCTAGTAGTCATGGTATATTTATCTGGCAGGCATTCATCTTTTTAATGTCTTTTTTTGCTAGAGGCCATTACAATATCCTGTGGTAATGGAGTGCTGCCCAATTATCCAGTTTATAAAGAAGTCCTTCCTTTTGCTTGTTTTCAATCTGCTGGTTGTCAATTTCATTATATGTTCCTGGGTTTTTGCATTTTGAGAATAAATAAATTGGGTTGGATCCATGTGAAGAGTTTCCTGTTCTCCCAGGCTTTTTAATTACAATCTATGGAGTGCTTCTGTTTTGGCATCAAGTTCACCCTTGCTGTGTTTTATCCTGGTTTTAGTTGTTCTGGTCTGTTTTTTTACAGGGCTTTTTCCTTTATGAGGTTTTTAAAGGGTTTTTTATTGTGAATTGTGTATTTTACTGTCTATGTAAACTGGCCAGATTTTTTTTTGGGGGGGGTGGATATAAATAAACAATGGCTATTATTCCATGCAACTACCTTTATTTCTGAGCCCCACCTGTTTGATAATAGTTCACTCAAAGCCTGTACAACTTCTGTCCACCAAGCCTAACTCATCTTTATGGCCACATCTGGCCAGGTTTCCAGCACCCCACTGTCTGAGTGGTCTCAAGGGGTGTTGGCATGGGCATAGCCAATGGCGGGCTGGGGGGGGCAGGGGGCAGCTAGTTCCACAATTATTGAAAAACATTGAAAGTACTCAATTATCTGAGCTTCTGCCCCTCAGCAATGTCCTATTCACCCCAATAACAAAAATCCTGGCTATGCCCATGGGTGTTGGTAATGTCACTGAAGCCTATGATGTCAACAAACCGTTTACTAACCAGCTTGGAAGCTGCACCCATCTCTTAAAAGTGGGTTCCTTGCATTTTGATCAGTAATATGCCTAATAAGAAAGGTGAAATACACCTACCGTAAATATAATACAAATTCATGTACAATCAAAATAAAGCTTGAACAAATAAACCTAAACAATTAGTTGCTAACTAGACATTCTTAAGATTTATTATTATTTTATAAAAAGCAGATATAAATGTTAATGGATGAGGTTTACCAGATCCATTATTTTGAAATTGCTATGTAATAGACTTTATTGTATCGGAGAAGACTCTAAAACAGAAAACTTACATTATGACATTGATCCTATAATTCCCAATTCCTTGCCCAGTATTGATTTTTTATAAAATATTTTTGCTATTTTCAGCATACTGAAACTCCTAATGACTGCTTCCAATGGCTCCATGTAGGTATTACATAGGATTTGGGATAACATATTTCCAAGTAAATGTACATTGGCTTGGTCTGCATCTGGAGTCCAGAGTCAAAAGCTTCCACACACCAGCTAGCACCTTTAGCTCTCTAAAAGTAATCAGATACCTTTGTCATTCTGAGTAATGGTAACACACTAAATCTCTTTTCCTTTTTATTTCTAACATTTGTACTGCACTCTTTGGTCAAAAAGGCTCCCAGAGTGGTTTGCATACAAACGAAATAAGAAAGTCCCTACCCACAGGTTTATAATCTTGAAATAAAAATTACATACAAACACAAGGGAAGAGGGATGCAGAGGGATGGGGGAATTCAAAACTCCACCACAGACTTCTAAACAGTTGAGCAGGTAGCACAGTTCCAGGGCCATGGCATGCCTGATGGAGCTGGGCTTAGTGAGAGCCCCGTGGCTTCCTTTGTCTCTCCCTCTGAGGCAGCCTAATGGAGTGGCTGCCCCCAGGTGAGGGGAGAGGAGGCCTGTTGGAGCTGACCTCTCACAGCTGTTGATGAACTTTCCAGGTGATGAATAATGATCTAATTTGGAGGCCACGCTCCTCTGGGCAGGACACGAGGCTCCTTCTGCAAGAGCCGTGTGCGTCTTAGCAGAGGGGAAGGAAAAGATGCTCCACCAAGGAGATTGGCTTCTGCAACAGCTGAAAGCCAAGTGTGTATTTCGGGGGGGGGCTGCCTGTGTCTGCTTGGCGGGGCTTTGAGAAGGACCGAGGGAAGTAGCCCCCTTTTTTGTCTCTCTCCCTCCGGCACTTTGCAAGGAAGTGACTGAGAGGAGCGTCAGCGAAGGAGCCTGTTTTCCTTTGGCGAAGGGACCCACCCCGAGGGCGGAGCCTGCCTTCCTTCCCCTCGCCGCTCGTGTCCCGCCTTTGCTCCCAGCGCCCATGCCGAGGGTTGCCTTGCGCCAGGTACGTGTCCCGGCAACTCTTCTTCGCAGCTTCCCTCTGGGGAAGTTGGCGTGCGGGGGGGGGGGAGGGGGCGGTCCTGGTCCTGGTCCTGGTCCTCTCTCTCTCTGAGCGCAGAAGCGTCTCCAGTGGATGCAAGTCGCTTGCTTATGTCTCAGGAGGGAGAGGGTTTGGGTGCTTTGGAACCGGCCGCGTCCGTGCAAAGAGTTCGCTCGCATTAGTGGGATTTTTCTCTTCTCCCGCGTCCCCCCTACCAAACACCCCTTATCCCCATTGTGTGGGGCGGGGGGAGGCCGGGCAGCTGGAGGCAACGAGCATCTTCCTGCTACATGTTGGCTCCCTTGTGCTCCGTGCAGCATGCTCGGCTCCAGCTTCCCTTCTT